TTATTGCTCTGCGAATGTCTATCAGTACATCAGCACCTGGTAAATCTGATGAAATTTTTCACCTGGCTGGTGTCCTGCCATTTCTGGGAATAGAATTTATTGTCCCAGCTTGGCTCATGTAATTCAATACAACTATATGTTATACTTTCCAAAAATATAGCATATAGAACTTTTCTGCAGAACAACCTACATTAGTAGTGAGATACAGTAACTGGGGGGGAGGGGAGAGGGGCACTTATCTCCAGTGCCAAGTTAGGAGGGGTGCTGAAATTCCTGTGGAGTCCATGCCATGGCAATACACCCATGCTGGGAACTCCAGAGTAGTTCAAGGCTTCTGCTGCTACTGCTGCTGCTTCAAAAGCAACAGCCGGGGTGGGCTGAGCACGCAGCAGTGGCAGCAGCAGCTCACTTGGGGACTGCTTAGGAGTTTTGAGCATGGACTAGACTGCTGTGCCTTCCTTGCCTTCACTCTTAGAACCTGTGCCCCCTCTCCCGCTCTCCTGCAGGGTTTGTCCCAGGTTCCAACTCTGCTTGTTATGCCACTGGTGAAGGGCATGCTATTTCATGGATTTCATAGATTTCATAGACATTAGGGCTGGAAGGGACCTTGTGAGATCATTGGGTCCAGTCCCCTGCCCAAGGGGCAGGAAGTCAGCTGGGGTCAGATGACCCCAGAAAGATAATCATCCAAATGCTTCTTGAATGTGTCTAGAGTAGGTGCTTGCACCACTTCTGGAGAAAGTCTGTTCCAGACTCTGGAGACTCAGACAGTAAAGAAGTTTTTCCTTATGTCCAGTCTAAAACGGTCTTCCAGCATCTTGTGACCATTAGACTTTGTCTTCCCTTGGGTTGCCTTGGTGAACAGACATTCTCCCAGATCCTGATGTATACCCCTGATATATTTATAGGCTGTCACCAAGTTCCCCCTGAACCTACGCTTTTCCAAGCTGAAGAGTCCCATGCCTTTCAGCCCCTCCTCATAACGCCTGCTTTCTTGACCTCTGATTGTGTGCATGGCTCTCCTCTGGACTCTCTCAAGCTTCTCCATGTCCTTCCTAAAGCATGGAGGCCAGAACTGGATGCAGTACTCCAGCTGTGGCCTCACCAAGGCTGAATAAAGTGGGAGGATGACATCTTGGGTCTTGTTAGAGATGCATCAGTAGATGCAAGCCAGAGTTTTATTTGCTTTGCTGGCTGCGCAATCACATTGGTGGCTCATATTCATCTTGTGGTCAATCATGACCCCAAGTCTCTTTCAGTCATAGTGCTAATGTGTGTAGCACTGCTGAGCCTATAGGTATGATGTGGGTTCTTTCTCCTGAGGTGGAGCATCTTGCATTTCTCTATTCTGAAAATCATCAGGTTTTGATCTGCTCGCTTTGTGAGCCTGTCCAAGCCGGCCTGAATTCCCAGCCTATCCTCTAGTGTGACTGCACTTCCCCATAATTTGGTGTCATCTGTAAACTTAACCAGTCCACTTCTGACACCTGAATCCAGGTTGTTTATAAATATGTTAAAGAGTACCGGTCCAAGTACTGAACCCTGACGGATGCCTCTGGTCACCATGTGCCATGTTGGTTCAGTTCCATCAACTATCACGCTCTGGGTACAACCACAGAGCCAGTTCCCCAGCCATCGGATCGTAAGGTTGTTGAGACTGCAGTTCCCCAATTTTGTCATGAGGACATCATGGGAGACCAAATCAAAGGCTTTTTTGAAATCCAAGTAAATGACATCAGCCTCTCCTCTTCTGCCCAGGTGATGTGTCACCTGGTCATAGAAGGAGATGAGGTTAGGCAGGCACAACCTATCCAAGATGAAGCCATGTTGGCTGTCTCTCAGGATGATGCCTTCTGTTAGCCTATTCTTGATGGATTCTTTAATAATTTTTTTCATAATCTTTTCAGGGATTGAGGTCAAACTGATTGGCCTGTAGTTCCCTGGATCTTTCTTACTTCCTTTCTTAAAGATAGGCACCACAATTGGCACTCTGCCAATCTTCAGAAACCTCTCCTGAGCACCATGAGTTCTCAAATATCCTTGCCATTGGTCACGCTATGATGTCAGCCAACTCTTTTAGCACTGTTGGGTGCATTTCAGCAGGGCCCGCTGACATAGATGTCTAGCCTCTCAAGGTGTTACCTCACAAGGTCTTCACCAAATGTAAGCATGTGGTCACCTGTGCCCTTGTAATCCTGTGTCCCCTAGGGATGGTGAAAAACTGACACAAAGTAATCATTAAGGAGATTAGTTTTTTCCTGGGTGTTGAATGTCAGCTGCTCCATTTGGTTCAGCCGGGGTCCAATGTTGCCCTTATTTCTCTTTCAACTTCCCATGTATGTGAAGAAGGACTTTTTATTGTCCTGGATTCCTGTAGCTAGTTTGAACTCAGTTTTTTCCTTGGCTTTTCTGGTCTGCTCCCTACAGGTGCAGGCCAGTGATGCATAGTTTTCCTTAGAGGTATTTCCCGCCTTCCAACTCTTGTAGGCTTCTCTTTTAAGTTTCAGGAGGTCCATGAGCATCCTGTTGAGCCAAGGAGGTCTCACAGCCCTTTTACTACCTTTCCTATGGGCTGGAATGGATTTCCCTTGTGCTTTTAGGATTGCATCCTTAAAGAGTGACCACTCATCTTGGACTCCCTTACCTGTCAGATTGTGATCTTTCAGGGCCTCAATAACTAACCTCCTGAGCTTATGAAAGTCAGCTTTCCTAAAGTCGAGGATTTCTGCATTGCTGACTGATTTGCCAGTTTTGCGATGGATAGAAAAAGTGATCAACTCATGATCACTGTCAGCAAGCTTCCTGTCAAACCTCAGGTTGCTCACCCCCTTTGGCCAGGACCAGATCTAGCAGCGCCTTACCCCTTGTTGGCCTGTGGATGTCTTGAGCTGATAGAGCTTGTCCATGCAGGTGAGGAAGCTTTGCAACTGATCAGATTTAGCTGAATGCTCTTCCCATCAGATGTAAGGGTGGTTGAAATCATCCATGACAACCATGCACTAAGAGCGTGCAGCCTCTGTTAGTTCCCTAGAGAATTCATGGCCTAGCTCTTCCTCCTGGTTATGTGGTTTGTAACAGACTCCTACAGTAATATGCCCCTTCACCACGTTCTCTTCATATTCTAACCCAGAGTGTTTCAAGTCACCCTCCTTGGGTGCCAATGTCAGCTAGTATGGAAGTATACTGCTCCTTGACATAGAGATCTACACCCCCACTCTTCCTCCCAACATGGTCCCTTCTGTACAAGGTATAGCCATCTATACCTGTGGTCCAGTAATAGATGGAGTCCCACCAGGTCTCCATTATCCCTATGAGATCATATTTGTTATTGCTTAGCAGAAGGGTCAATTCCTCCTGTTTGCTCCCCATGCTCCTGGCATTTGTGTACAAGCAGCTAAACCTTCCTTCAGAAGCCCTAGGCTTCTTTGTGCATTTAGGAGAGTCCCATCCTTAGGCTGGTGTTGGAGTAAGTTCAACTGCAATTCCTGACCTGCTGATTTATGTGTTTGTCACTTCCTGGGCTTGCTCTGATGGTTGTCTACCCGTCCCCTGGCAATCTTAGTTTAAAGCTCTGTCGAGCAGGTCAGCCAATCCAGTCAAAAAAAGCTTCTTTACCATTGAGGTGAGGTGGAGGCCATCTCTTTCTAGCAGACCACTGCCTCTGTCTCTGAGGTGCGGACTATGATTGAAGAAGCCAAAGCCTTTGTGGTGGCACAAGTGCTTCAGTCTTCTGTTTACTTCATTGATACATCTCTCCTCCTGTGCCCATGACCTGTAAGTGGGAGGATTGAGGAGAAAACCACCTGTTCCCCCAACCCTCTGAGCCCAGCCACCAGAGCCCTGTAGTCACTCATGATCTGGCTGGGATTGTTTCGAGCTGTGTTGTTTGTGCCCACATGGATGAGAAGCATGGGATAGTGGTCGGAGGGTTGGACAAGTTTAGGGATTTTCTCTCAGCTACTTCCCACATACAGGACCCTGGGAGGCAGCAGACCTCATGGGCTAAAGAGCAGATCGGGCCCTCTGTTCCCCTCAAGAGGGAGTGTCTCACAACAACCACTCTGCATCTCTTCCAATGTGTGGCTGCTGGCCGCCTTCCTTCCTCGAGTGCTGGAGCCAGTGACTCTGCTGGCTCTGCTGATGTTGCGAGGGGTATGTATCTGTTGTGAAGTTCTAGGGGGTGGTGACTGGTGCAAGTTGCCTTGGGGCTAGAAATGACCTTTGTCCAAGCGACCCCTGGCTGGACTTCATGGGGACTTCTTTTGTGCGCCCTTGTCCTGCTAGCCTTCCTTGTTCTTCCCTCCTCATTCTTCAGGGGAAGAGCCTGGTGGTAGGCCTTGATCTCCTCTTTGCCATCCCTGACGGCATGCAGCCTTTGCACAGCAGCCTGGAGGTCCCCTATCTGGCACTCCAGGGATTCTAATGTGAAGCACACCCCACAAGGGGAGGGGTCTTTTCTCCTAATCTCATTTGCCTGTATTCGAGCCAGGCAGCCCCCACAGCCAAGAGCCAGGGCCTCCGTCTGGGTGAAGGCTGGAGCCATGAGCTCCATCTGAGTAGAGGCCTCAGTGGTAATGGAGTGGGGGAGGGGGAGGGATTTTTGGGGAGATGTACTCTCCATATTTCTAAACTGCAACACAGACACACCAGGAGCACTAAAGAAATGTGTAATAAGCAAGGTGAAGACATTTGTTTAGTAAAGACAGTATTTTTTTGCTTTTCTAGCTAGTTTCTAGAGTTACACAAAGCTCTCCTCTCTGATTAGCAATTATGCTTGTTCTATAGACAAAACTCAGCTGACATCAGTGGGAGTTTGATACCTGACACAGTTATGTAACCAATTTGCAGTGTAGGCAGGCAAGGCTTTTTACATTGTTTTTAATAGCTGTTATGGTAAATAGCACATTTGAGAACAAAAAATTGTTATAATCCTATCAGATCAACATGTTTGATGGAGTCCTATCATTTTAATGCTTCATTCTGTGTTCTTTCAATTCTAGATTCTTGAAGAAAATATGAAATTAGAGTGCAAATGTCATGGAGTATCTGGATCTTGTACTACTAAAACATGCTGGACAACCCTTCCTAAATTCCGGGAGCTGGGCTACATCCTTAAGGACAAATACAATGAAGCAGTTCAGGTTGAACCAGTGAGGGCAAGTCGAAACAAGCGTCCAACCTTCCTTAAAATAAAGAAGCCGTTGTCCTACCGCAAACCGATGGATACAGATTTAGTGTACATAGAAAAGTCTCCAAATTACTGTGAAGAAGACCCTGTCACTGGCAGTGTGGGAACACAGGGAAGAATGTGCAACAAAACAGCTCAGCAGTCCAATGGCTGTGATCTGATGTGTTGTGGTCGAGGCTACAACACTCACCAGTACTCAAGAGTATGGCAGTGCAACTGTAAATTTCATTGGTGCTGCTATGTTAAGTGTAATACCTGCAGTGAAAGAACAGAAGTGTACACCTGTAAATGAAAGTGTGGCTGGGGAGGATGACTAGCTAGATCCCTGGGAATGAATACATTTGCACATGAGTTCAACATACCTACGCAAGACTGTAGCAAAAAAAACTTGCTCTCTTCCAGAACAAAAGATAACAAACAAATTTCTATCTTTTCTGCTTGTATTTCAGTGCTTATGTGGATACACATTTAAGACCTGTACAAATCAGCCAAAAAAGAACAAAAAATAAGCAAGTCACCTACCACACAGAACAAGAAACAGAAATCATCTCAAGTAATCTGCACTTCTAAAGCTTAATGCATTGACTGCTGTATGAAAGGAACATGAGTCAAATGAAAAATCTTTAAGTTTGGAAACTGCTTTTGTTTAGAAAAAGATGGTTAAATATACAAGTATCCATAAATAAGGGGGCAGGGTAGGGTGGGAGAAATGAAACAAAACCTTAAAAATGGCCTTTGCACAGAATGGGGTGGACAATACCCCAGTGTGGATTGCTACTGAAGAGTGTGGAGTATGCAGATTTAGGTTTCTACAGTTTTGAAAAGCTTCTGCTGGTCTTGCCTATCTTTCCATTTCACACAGTTTGCTACAGCAAGTAGAACTGTTGACATTTTTCCATAGACACTGGTTTATCTGCTTTCTTTTTTTTTTTTGTGCTGCAGATTTTAGCACAGGGATTGGGACATCTGGGCAGAATAATAGCAATATTTAACAATTTATTCAGATAACTAATATTAATTTATTTAATTAAAGAAGAACTCTACCAACATTTTTGGAACTATTCTGCAATTAAAGTAGATAGCTTGCTTTCTTTGTGGAATAATTTTGTAGATACGGCAAGGAAAAAACTGGAGCTGTATATATTATTCTTTACTTGGATATTTCTACTAGTTGGATTTGCAGGATATTTTCTGCAGTACTAGATGTTTAAGTACAAAGGCAGGCATCTTTTATATATTTTTTGCTGTTTGCTGCTAGTTGTCTGGAAACATCAACCTGGTAAAGATTATATCTTTACTAATACTCTTTTTTTCCAATTAAAAAGGAGCATAATGAAAATCCACTTTGGAATACATCAAAAATAAATATGAAACTCCAGACAAACTTCCACATTTTGGAAAATGAACCATAGGATAAGAGAGTATATTTTGTAAGAGACTATTTTTATATGAATATTTTATTTATACTATGTCTGCTTGTATAATTCTATAACCTGTACTTTTTCTCAGAACAGGCATTCAATTTGTAACTCTTAGGCTATTTAACAGAGAAAGGTTGATTAGTTTGTGGACTGAACAGCAGCAAGACTGGATACATTCAGCTGTGGTTAGTAGATGTGTCAAAAATGCAGAATGAACTCTCTCTCCGGATGTGTGTACAAACTGGCTTTTTTCTGTAGTTCAATCTGCAGAATATGCAAAACAAGAACAGGGTATGTTGCATCAGTTTTGTCACATGGCTTGAATTCATGGTTGGTATTAACTGAATGCTCATTTATCCCATTCAGAAAAAAAAATCTGAATTAGCTTCCCACATGCGTCAGTCATTAAACTGTGGCATTATGACTAGCAAATGTGCTGTGTGTGCTGTCAGTTAAATCTCTATATTGTGTTACTGTCAAATTTGATTTTATCAATGGAAGACTGTAGACTATGACTGTAAAAACTAACATGACACACATTGTCTGATTCTCACAGATAAGATACAAACCTTACAATTTTGTCCAACAGTTTTTGGCATTTGCCTTGTTCTTTCCCCAAAAAGTCTTGAGTTATAAAGCCCAAACCACATGTAGTCAAACCTTAAACAACCTGTTTTTCCAAAGCCCCATTAAGGTCTCCTGTGTCCTCTGTTTGCTTCCTTTCTTAGTGCCTCCCGTTTCCCCAAACATTTGCAAGTAAATAAGTATTCCTCCCATTTAGAATCTTTCTGCTCCTACCTAATCCTTTTGGGGCCTGACCAGACAGTTGTGCTTTCTATGGTGAGTTTCCTTGGGTAAGGAACTGAGGCTGGGACTCTTAACTGCTATGGCATGTTCCACAGTTTGGGACAGGGCAAGCTCTTCCATAGGTGAGAAGTGCAAGATCATACCCACTCCAGTAATTTGAGAGGGCAGACAAAAAGGGAAACCAACAAATTCACTAGTTATCTGTGTTCCTCAGTGACTCCCACTGAGAGCAATACATATTGGCATGAATAGAGAATAAGCAGATTAGCAATGGGTCTGATCCATTGACTTAACTGGAGGTTTTGCTTTTGTTAGAACAGCCAGACTGGGACCCGTGCTGAGAAAAGGAAAAATGGAAGCATTACAAGCCCTTTTATGGGATTCTGGTCCAGTAATGTATTTTTTAGAAGTTGCCTCAATGTGGCCTGGTTTTTTTTTTATCCCTCTCATTAAAAATAAAAAAAATAAAAAAGGAAAACCCCCAAACCATGCAATACCTGCTCCTCACAAGGTACAATTATGATTGAATACATAGTGTTTCTTTCCAAACCTACTACTCACCACATAATATGTAGTTTCACAGTAATTCAAATACCAGTGTGAGATATCAAAGTAAAAGTCAGATAAAATTAACACAGTTTACTTTCAAGCTTATGACTTGTCATTATTGAATCGTTTTAAAGTAGTATATTAAAAAATGAGTTTATACTTTTGGATTTCTAAATTCTGTGTACTAAAGCTCAATAATGAAACATAAAACTCAATAAAACATGCAATGTGGAGGTTAATTACAATTGTACAATCTGGTTTAATAATGCACATCTCTGACATATTTGGCTGATTTTTTTCTTTAATAATATTCATTGGTTTTCCCTATCTGGATACACACCACAGTTGTAAGTTTGTCATTCTTCACTGATTACTGCTACTTTATGAAGTGTTAATTTTGCAGTATGTTTTTTTTTCAACCATAGGAAAGTGTTCTGTAAAACTGCTGCTTCTTGTATATTTTGATGCATAGGTGATGCACAGTGTACAACTAGCACATTAACTCTTAAAGGTCAGATTTCTTTAAACAGTTTTACTCAATAATAAAGAACTGGATACACAATGAAAATCTATTTATTTTTATTGCAAACTAGAAAAGATGTTATCAATTCTTAAATGCTTTTCAAAAGTAATAGTCTCATAAATTTAACATTTCCGTTAAAAATATGGGGACTTACACTGACTTACATTTGAGATATTTTTTGTGTACCACATAACAAGGAGAGTGATTTATTTTGGACGTGGAATCTCACAGTTGGGTTGCCACATGTGAAAAGGACCATGCAACTTTAGGAAGGAGGGAAATATCTTGCGGCAGCTTCCTAAAAGTGTTTGAAGATTTGGCTGTGTCTTCCCAGATAAGAGAAATCTGGCTCATCTGAGTCCATCCTGGATCTGGAGTTAATTGGCCATGTATTTGAATGGCATAAAGAATAAATGGGAGAAAGAGAAAGAGTTACTATTTTGTAGATATTTTTCCTCCAAACAGTTTGTTCTTTGTCTTAAGGAATAGAAGAGCTCTGTTTTTACTTGGTGAAGAACTGCACAATGAAAGTGAAATGCACACAGCTAAGAACAATACAGCCCTCAATAGAAAATACATCTTTGTATCTCTGCTAAATGAGCAGAGTGTCAGATTGATGTTCACATTAATAATCTGGATATGTTCGTAAAGCAAACATACATTGAATATTTGAAAACAGGAAGAACATTAAGAAAAACATTGGAACCAGCGTAATTTGTCTCAGCACTGTGTTTTACAACAATTCGTTTCACTATACTCTTTAAAATTGGATGCCTTTTTCAAAGGGGCTAAAAGGCTACCTGTAGCAATCCAGAGAAAACTGTAAAGGACTTTAATTGAAGTATTTCACTGGCCTTTTTAAAGGTGGTAACAATCCTGATCTCAGTCAGCTTGCATACTTGGTACAATACCAGCATACAACAAGAATCCATCAATGACTAAGTTTTCTTTGCCATGTTTGCACAAAACTAATGGAGACATGTCTTTCAACAGTAATAATTAAACTGAAAACCTCCTTTAAATGTATGTTTAATTGGCTCATTTGGCAAATGGCAAGATTGTTCTGAGCTTACCAAATTACGAGAAAAAGGAAAAAGTATGTATGAAGCATCTCATAATCTTAAGATTTAATGGCCTATTTTGGGAAATATAAAACTGCTTTAACCAAAACCACTTTGCAAAGCCTGTTATCATGGTTGCATTTAAAAATGGGGTAGGGTGTAGTTTCTGTCTGGATGGAAATTCAGCTTACATGCCTCAGATAATATTTGCATATTTAAGTAATTATGGTAGACACATAAAGGACACCTAAATCAGTGAAATGACAAAGCAGTGCATAGGTGTACTTGGTAGCTGTGTTGGTCTGAGACAAGAAGACATACAAAAAACAAGAACTCTTGCTTCCAAAAGGATACCTTTTATTGGATCAACCGGGAAATTGCAAGAAAATTGCCCTTTTCTGCAGGCTTCTGGGATCAAAGTCTTCCCAGTCAGGCTCTGCTAAAAGTATAGATGGTACAAGATGGTAAAAAGTCCACATGGGTAGGAAATAAACTTCATTTTTTCACAGAGGGAGCTGAAGATGGAAGGCTGTCCCCCTGGGTCTATGAAAGTGTCTTTGTGAGCAGTGTTGAGTAGTTCTTTGATGTGTAGATCAGGTAGAATTCATACACACAGAGATGTATGCTCCTAATAAGATGAGCTGCACAACCACATACCCAAAAATCTATTGTTGCTAGGAGGACAAATCTGCTAAACATATGTTTCCAAACTTGGCCAGAATTGGAATAGTCAGCTTCTACCCTATGTGTAAACTGTCAACTACTGGTTTTCCAGCATACTTCCATGAAGTGCAAGCTGAGATGTGGCTTGTAATATTTAAGAAACTGCACCAGATATTTCCATTTCTCATACATTTTGACTTCTTGGCAGTGAATTAATCTACATAATTTTCCTAAATTCTAAAACACTCTTCCTTACTATAGGAGTGCCTCAAGCAGCTTTCCAAATGTGCAATGTCCCAATGAGCCACCAGGAATATCTTCTTCCAGGTAAAACTATAACATTAATTCATCAAGTTCTCTTTAAAGCCATATAATCTAACCATGAACAAAATGCAGAGAATTTTAACTCTGGGAACAAATGTTAATGATATGTAATGAAGCTAATAAATGAAGAAGTACGATCTGAATCTACAAATTTTTTTGCATAGGAGCCAGAGGCATAGCAGAGATGATGTCTCTGCAGCTGTAGGAATGCCCCAGCTCTTGTGCATTCACGGATTAGGTCAAGGCAAGGGGAATGTACATGATAACCATCTCCTTAATTACTGAAGCACGTGCAAGTTACCTCTAAGATACACCGGATGTGAAATTTCAGGCATCTACAAACTATTTGTGTCTCACAGAGAAATCATACTCATCTGTTTAAGTATGGCTACAATGTAGACGGATATTCATCTTATATATCACCTCTGGGGGTTGTATTTTTGTCAGCCACTATTACCCTTGGTAGGAAAAAAAATAATTGAAGATTTGTCTTTTTTCCCCCTGAAAGAAGAGTGCTTTTCACCAATATAAGAGAAAACAGTCGTATCTTTGTGTGTGTGTGCAAACATGTGAGAGAGAAAGGAGCAAAATTTACTTGTCAGAGAGAAAGGATCAAAATTTACTTGTGAGCACCTTTGTGTTTACACATGGATTTAAAATTAATAAAAAGTAGGGGTGGTTTATACCTCCCACACCAACTCATCTTGTTTCCTCCTGTCACATTAAGTACATGCCTTAGAAACCACTTCATAGTTCCTGGTTAATTTCAGTGGCCACAGACACAAAAACAATTACAAATGTGCCAAATGGGCCAAATAACTAGTTGTTTTTCACAAGGTATATATGCATGTGCTTTGGGATCAATACATTGTGCATTGTGTACAGTTCCCTATCATCAAAATTCTTCACTATCAAATTTCACTTGCATTTGCAATCAGTGGACCAGCTCTGGTGTTTTTTAAATTTTGATACACAAGGAAAATTGTAGATGCTTGCAAATGACCAAACCTCCTGATGTCATAGGCTGATCCTGCCTCTCTCACCCCACCAGGGTGGGCAGACCACTGCCATGGTAGCAGCAGTCAGAGACTTTTTTTAACTCTCTGAATGAGGTAAGCATCTCCCTTCCACACAGCACTTGCTCCTTTCCCCTCTCTACTCAGTGGAACCTCCCTCCCCCTTTCATGCCCCCCTTACCTTCTCTGTTTGTGCCTCTGGGCTCAGGAATGGGAGACCCCCCTTCCACCTGCCTCTCCTGCTCCACTCCACTCAGGGCTGCTGGGAGCTACTGCTTGGGGAGCCAGGATCAACCTGGGACACAGCAGCCAGGTTTCCCCACCCTACCTCAGGCTGGTGGGGACCACCCAGTAGGACTGGTCATGAGGGGAAACCTGCCCACTGCCACTGCTGCTCCTTCCCCCAACTGAGTCTGGCTCCTCTCTAGTTGGAGCAGGATAGGAGCAGCTCTGGAGCTCGCTCCACCCCTGGCTCAACTGAGGACAGTGGCAGCAGTAGGGAAGGGAGGAAGGGATAAGAGGTAAGGGATGGGGAGGTACTGCTGAGCATGATGGGGAAATGGCGGGGGGGAATTCTGATTTGGGGACTTTAAAAAAGTCTCTGGCTGCTGCTCCCATGTCATGACTCCAACAGTGGGGAGAAGGAGTGTTGAGCCAGTCACTGAACCCCCTGCCCCTGCCATCTGGCCAGTTGCACATGATATATGGTAGTGAAAAATATGGAGGAATAGTGCCAAATTCTGACCTGGACGATGCACAAGTGTAAACGCAGTGGATGGTGTGACTAATAAAATCTGGTGAACTCATGCACTCATTGCTCATGCCTCTTTATTCACATATTTATTCATTTCCTGATGGTTAGTTCTAAACACACTTGTCAACAGTCATTTTTAAAGTACCATGCTATTTAATTATATTAGACTAGTAAGAATTTGAAAATAGACATCCCTTCCTGCAACATTTATATCATTTCTCCCTCTATTTTGTGTTGTTATTTATGTAGAGCAGTAGGTGTTCACAGCAAAATGTTCACAGCAGCCTGTAGCCCAGGGAGCTAGGAAGGGACCTGGGAGCCATGAAGATCTTATATGATACATTAAAGCAAACTTTGTTGCACTGATTTCTTTGAGTGCTCTATAGTGCAACTTTAAAATCTCATGCATGTAATATGTTCTCAGAAGCATAGCATGGAAATCTCTAAGGTAATAATGTTAGGATTCATAGATTCATAGATTCATAGATTAAGGGTCGGAAGGGACCTAGTAGATCTTCTAGCCCGACCCCCCGCCAGGGCGGGAGAACAACAAAACCCCAAAACAAGAAACGGGACTCAAATGAGTCCAGCCAGGTAGGCATCCAGCCTCTTCTTAAAGACCCCCAGGGTAGGGGCCAGCACCACTTCCCTTGGAAGTTGGTTCCAGCTCCTAGCCGCCCTAACCGTGAAGTAGTTTTTGCGGATGTCCAATCTCACAGACAGAAGCCAGAAAAAACTTCAGTAAATTAGAGGGGTGTCAGTAGGAGCTTTGCTTAGGAGAGGCAGGCCAGCAAGCAATGAGCGTTAGAAATATACTGCTGTCCATGGGAGCATACTGGTATCTTGACTACACTGATTCTCTGTACAGCTTAGTGGAGGACTGTCCAAATGGTGGCCTGTGGGGCATAATGAAATCAAAAGATGATTTCACTTGCCTATTTTTGCCGTCTCAAAATTAACAATAGTTGTAGGTTGTGTTGGGCTGGAGTTCTGTACCCAAGGGATACAAGCCAGAGCTTGACACAGATCAGGGTTGTCCATCTTCCAAGGGGCTGGGTGTGTGTATGCACATTCATGTGCTTCCCAGGCCACATAGGTGCACCCCCTGACAGTGCTGCAGATCCCAGGCACATGCATGCAGGTATACCACCTCTCCCTGCCCTGCTGTGCTTGACTGTACTGTATGAGGATCATCTCCCTCCCCACTCCTCCTGTGCCCCC